GCAGCCCATTTCGGCACTAACCAAGTTCCTGGAATCAGTCTGATCAGGAAAGGTTGCGACTGTTCGAGAGTGTCCACCATTGTTATCTTGATATTGGCGTACCAAGTGATTTTCGCAGTTTAATGTTGTGCTTGAAGTGATGCTTATACCTCCGTGTTTTACATACATAAAAGTTCGTTAATCATCTGGTTTGCACATACTTGTCTGTTCCTACTTCTGTATTCTCAAGTCAATGTCCACGATTTTAACCCGTAGACCTCATGTTCTACTCTAACTGAAAGTGCTTATTCCTCCTCTAGTGCGTACACCTAAGTAAATAAAAGTCATGCCTATGAAGTGAATGACTGCATTTTAATTAATTGTCATTTATCGCAAATAAGTAGATAATTAACGAAATTTTCTAATCGTAAACAAGTTAGGAGGGAAAGAGACGCATAAACTGTGAAAAGCCCAAAAATGAATGCCACACTATGTTTTGCAGATAAAATGGATTCTAATGTTATTGCACGTTCGTGCAATGTAGCCACTGCCACGTCCCTGCAATGTAGACACTGCAACGTTCCTGCGACGTGGACACTGAAACGTTTTACACAGGAACGTTCCGGAAACGGTACTTAATACATGGACATCCACGTAGAATTACACGTTCCGGTACACGTTGCTTTCCACGCGGAAGGTTTCACGAGAGGCGTGGAATTCTACGTTGTTGTCAACGTTGAAATTGTTATCTGGGACTCGACATTAACCATTTTTCTCAGAACTGTATTTTGTACCGTTTCTATCTCTCGTATGTTCGAGTTCGCTGCGCAGGCCCCCGACTGACACGCGTACCTATGCTCATATCGGTCTTATCATGACTCTATAGAAACTAATTTCATTTTCAAAGGTTAATTTTGAGTGCTTTCCTATTAACCAACTCATTTTTAATTTAATTTGCTCTTTCTTTCTGAAAATTACGTCTCTGTATTCTGATTCAGAGTTCATGGAAAGACCAAGATAGCGCGCCTGATCTGAATGGGGGATGGCTTTTCCATTCAAAACTAGTGGAATATGGACATATTTCATCAAGGGTAAAAACCACGTTTTCGGACTTAGAGGCGTTTAAATTAGTCCCGTCGGCATCAATCCATTCCTGAACGTCGTCCAGGTTCTCTTGGAGCATGATAACTGTTTGTTCGTAGGTGGGAACATTTGCGAGCACTGAAGTATTGTCTGCAAAAAATTCCCATCCTTGAGTTACCTCTGGGCTTTGGGATTTCTGCCGTGAAAAGGCTGTAAAGTACCCAAGTGAGATACCACCGATCCCTGACGCACTCCCGCGCATATTAGTTTGAATTCCAAGAATGCATCCTCGAAACGCACCCTAAAAAAGCTATCAGTTAGATACGAGGCAATAAGCTTCGTGTGGTTTGCAGAAAGTCCTCGGAAGTTCTTCTACCAAACCGTTGTTGGTGGTTGACTTTATCGAAAGCCTGGACGACATCCAAGAATATCCCGTTACAGAAATATTTCCTCTCCAGTGCTTTTTCAATGAATGATGTTACTCTGTGAAATTATTAAATAGTACTGTGTTTTGCGCGGAAACCAAATTGTTTGTTCATGATTAGGTCTTTTTGTTAACGATTTTTAGAAGTGTTTTAGTGTAAATTTTTTCAAAGATCTTTCCTACAACTAGTAAAAGGGAGATAGGTCTATAGGAAGCAGAGTTTGCAGAAGATTTACCAGTTTTAAGCGCGCCGTTCTCAGAACGGGTCGCTTTTTACAATCGGTGTGCCTGTGCAGGCTCTATTCTACGGTTATCCCTTACCATTGACCAACATAGGGATTTCGACCAAATCACGTCCTCCTCAGCGAGGTGACTTTGGAAGTATCATTTAAACGCGTTTTCTTTTTACGTCTGTGGCTTGATAAGTAGATGCGCCAGTGCTAGCATTTTATTCGTAACGTCAGAAGCCTGAATTCACTATCTAAATCATTTTATTATGGTCATTTTGCATCAACGCGCTTGAATTTCGCGGTAAATCATCACATGATACTGCGCTTGTTCGATTTGGTGTTTAACCCTGATTTGACGTCTAAACCAACCAGTGGCGGGATAATTTAAACATCCCACCTCGATATTTCAGGTTTTAGGGGGTATTTCTCGACGGCTTTTGTTCGATCGATTTTCGTGAGACTGGGTATCCGCGGGTATTTTTCGACGGGAAACTCGAATCGTTGGTCAGATTTTCAAAATTTCAAAATTCAAGTTGGCCGCCGTGGCCTAAAATGCTAAGTCAGCTCCTCTTCGATCAATTTTCGTGAAATTCGGTATTCGGGGGTGTTTTTTGACGGGAAACTCGAATTTTCGGTTAGATTTTCAAAATCTAAGATGGCGGCCGTTGCCTAAAATGCTAAGTCGGCTCCTGCTTGGTCGATTTTCGTGAAACTGAATATCCGTGGGTATTTTTTGACGGGAAATTCGAATTTTTGGTTAGATTTTCAAAATTTCAAAATTCAAGATGGCGGCCGTTGCCTAAAATGCTAAGTCGGCTCCTGTTCGATCGATTTTCGTGAAACTCGGTATCATCTGGAGGTGTTTTTTGACGGTAAACTCGAATTTTCGGTCAGATTTTCAAAATTTCAAGATAAAAGGTAATAGCTATGAGGGCCGACTTGCGAGTCGCAAGTTCATCGCGAAGGGAGGAAGCGACTGATCACGACTAGTATCATTATAAAACTTTTGATGGAGAGTTCTTTTCAATGGGTCTTCTTCGTCTAGAGTAGACGCCAAGCTCATCTCTGTTATAAATATTGAGAAATAACTTATTTATAATTTATTTCATGATTATTTATAGTAAAAGAGGAAAACCAGCAAGATGCTTAAATATTGAATGCAACATTGAATCGCTTCCTAATCCGGCACTCGTGTTCCGGAGGTGTCTGATTGTTGTTTTTTTTTTGTGTTTTGTTATTCGTGCAAATAGCATGAGCAATTTTAAAGTGGGCCTTGAATTGTGACTCCCGAATGTTTGCCCGTTAATACTTACTCCTTTGAATTCACGAGGTAAGGAGATTTTTATTGAACAAAAGTTGACAAAATGTCAAGTACTTAATTCTGTGGTGCTGGGCTTGAAAGGAAATAGATCAGTTACTGTCAATCGGTGGTACTAGTAGAATGCAGTATTTCAAAACATCGAGCATTGCTTATGGAAAATTCTTATCACCTGGTCACAAGGTGCTATTATTACTAAGGAGACATTCCTCATTCCCACTGTCTCAATAAACTAGATATAGGATTCATTTGAAACAATATAAAGATTGTAAAATTGCCAAAACACGTATCTCAATTACGCGATATGTGCATTTACCACAGCTTTACCGTTGATAAAGGAGCAAACTGAAGAGATGATCGAAGATAAATGTGTTTCCAAGTAACTCAATCTGGAACTCAAAGCTGGAGGTAGTCATCTCCAAAAACAAATCGTTTAATACAGGAGCCGCCGGAAGCTACTGAGGACATCTACTAAATAGATCCTTCATTTCCATCAACACTCATGGGCAGTGATCAGGTGATAATTGTAGAAACATTGCATTCAACTTACTACCTACCTTTACATACTGCTGGCGGTTGATTGTTGAAATTTGGTGTTCGTCGACCAAACTAGTCAAATAGAGTGAAATGGAGTTAGGTACCTAGGTGATTGGTTGACTGTGTCCATGGACGTCCTTATTGTTGCAATGTTGTGTAAAATTAATGGCAATCTACAAGCTAAAGGGTGCTATAAAATACTCCATGGCATTTTAAAACGGTTTGAATGGTCAACAGACATTTTTATGACTACATTCTATCACGAGGAAATTATGCAAGTCGATGATTAATTTTTCCTTGCCTATTTATTTCACAATCTTGAATTTCCAAATTTTTGAGAATGAGCTTGTTCAGTAATTTTTTATTACAGTATTGAGTGCACACAGCTCACTGGTTTTTCTCCGATTTTTTGAACATTATTAACCCACGAAAAACAAGTTCGAAGTCGCGTATTCTGAGCTCCAATTTAAACGCGCATCTCCAAGGAAGTCAAGATGGTGCGTGACGGTCACACTTTCAACCACGCGTTCCCTCTGGCGCACTCTAAATAGGTAGTGTTCACATTTAAATGAATTGGACAGTAATTTAAATAAAAATGGAGGGATTCCGATGTGTTTGTTTGTTCGTTTGTTTACTTCTCGTCATGAATGATGTCATGATCGCGATAGAGGAAACGCGTAGTCTTACTCAGGGATATTCCGGACGAAATCTTGGATTTTTCAGTGATGCGCGTTCAAATAGGAGATAGAATTTTAGACCAATCCCGCCATCTTGGATTTTCAACTTTTGGAAATTTGAGAGGAAATTCAACTTTCCCGTCCAAAAGTACCCTCTGATACGAATTTTCACTAAAATAGATTGAACAGGAGCCGAGATAGCACGGTAGGCCACGTCCTCCATCTTGGACTTACAAATTTTGAAAATTTGACCATATTAATTCGCGTTTCCCGTTCAGGTACCAAGATTCACTAAGATCGATTGAACAGGAGCCGAGAACGCCGGCATAGAATACGTTTTCCTGCACATGGTTTCGTTTGATTGAATGCAGTATCTCGGCTAGCGCAAATCTATAGGAGCACCAAAGAAGACCGATCAAAAGAGACCACACATAATTTTATTTGAATTAATTCGTCCTTCCCTATTCCCCATTTTACAATTTTTCATGCGCTGTTCCTACAGGAGGAAATTCGTTTTTCCGGAACATACTCGTACCTTAGAGTAGCTTAGGTGATGAAGAATTTGAATTCGTTAAAAACTCAAAATTGAAAATTTGGCGCTTCCTTCCCTTTGGTAGAAATACGTCCTTGTGTGTAATACACAAAATTATATTAATTTCAATCTACACTCAATCTATATATCCATGCTTGGGACTGCGAGGGTAATATCAGTAGACATATGATAATATAAATTAATTATTATAATAATTAACCTGTTGCAAGTACTTGAGTAATTTTGGCCCCGCATTCGCAATATATCGACTGTGGTAAGCTATGTTTGCTACATTCACCTCCCGAGCGAAAATCTTTTCTGCCTGCAGTTCTTTAACAAACTTATGAATGCTTTCAGCAGGTCCGGAAATAGTGCAGCTGTCTGGTCCATTGTGACATGCCACTTCAATATCCATCGGAAGACGGGGTTTGATTTCGTGAAAGCCAAGACCTACCATAAATAGAATTTGATCTTTGTGTTAATATCATTTTCATATGGAGTTGGTGAAACTGCAAATAACTAGTAAGATTTTTGATGTTTTCATGATGATTAGGTCATAAAATAAATGTTACTAAAGCCCTTGTCTCACGATCAAATAAACTCATCAAATGCAAGACGGCGGAGATGCGTTCTGGTTTCTGCGCAATCAAAAGTTAGCGCTTGGCGGGCCGTCAAATGATGACTAGAGCCCGTGCGGATTTGCGCGATAACCAGTACGCATCTCCGCTATCTTGCACTTGATACGGATATGGTCTATTAAGAATGCGTGTTCAAGATTAGGCTCGAAATACGAACATTAAACTTGTTTCTAGTGGCTGAATTCCGGGTGTTCAAGAGCACCCGTCCACTATTTTTTACTCGGAAACGGCCGAAAATTGAGCCTCGGGACGAAACATTTTAATGGTGAATCAAACCCAAGGAATTCAATTAAAATATTTTCAGCCCCCCTCCAAACCTCAAGGGTGGGGGGGTGTTTTAAGGGGGGTGTCCCTCGTTTCTCGCAAATTTCAAATAGGAAGAGTATGTTTTGACTTCGGATTTAAATTCTATAATCAAAAATAAGAACTTTTTGTATGATGTTCTCATTCCCTAGACCCCCATTATTTGGAGTTACAGGGCATTTTGGGGAAAATTTCAATTAGACACTGTATGCGTTGAAATTATCCGATTTTCAAAATCTAAAAGGCCTCTGAGAGAAGAGGTTAATGCCTTTTTATCGGTGTGCCACTAGGGTGCGTCAAAAGAAATGAAAATCTGAAATGTTCCGCTCCCCAGTCGGCAATCGATGCCATTTGGCAAAAAACACGTTTTCCAAAATTTGGGCCAATTTCAACCATTTTAAATGGTGCCAAAGGTCAATTTTGTGATGAAATTCTGATATTTATGTTTAGACCCCAATTCCGTACGAAAAACTCGAGTTCACGCTGAAATCGTGCGTTTACAAGAAAAATGCCAAATAATTCAACTTGTAAAGGATGAAATTTTACTCTAGTAAGACGTGTTTATAAACGATTAAAAATCAAATTGAACTAGAGAAACTCACCTCGGTATTTATTTTTTTGGTCCTCACAATTTCTGAGATCTTAAAAAGTAGCGGTATACCTAATAGACTCATTTTCCACGAAAAAAAGTCTATAAAGGGTAGGTATAAATGAATTGTAGGCAAGTGTTGAGGATGCAAATGTCATCAGAAATCACTGAATTTAAAAAAAAGGTCCAACTTTTTTGAACAATCCTCCAACAAGTGTACGGCTCGAAAAGCAGGATCGTACTATAACAGTCAGCGATAAGTGCGGTTTGACCCGGAATAAATTGCGTAACAAACTTCCCCTATGTAATCGTCATAGTTGATCCTCCTTAACAACCTCCTAGAAGGTAAACATGGTCCGACCTCGGACCACCCCTCAAAGTACCTAAAATTCAAAATGGCTGCCGTGATAAGGGGGTCTGGGAAATCAGTATTTTAAAATGTTCATTCTGTGCCATGTGACGTATCGTTTTCTATTTAATTTTGGTCGTAAATTACATAAATAAACTCAACAAGGCACCCCGGTCAAAAGGGGCACTCCAAATAAAAAATGGCGGCCAAATGTGAAAGGCTGGATGTTGCATTTTTTTAAATATTCACGTAAGGAACCAGACAAATGAGCGGTCTCCATCCTTTTGCAAAAGTCGTAAAATTCATACGTGAAGGAAGGCAATAAAAGTGCCCCTTCCCCCGATCAAGAGGAGTGTCCCAAATCCAAGATTACGCTTATGAGATGTCTAGTAATAGAAAATTAATGGAGGAAAATAGGATAAATCCCGTGCACGGATTGCTAAAGAACGGCGAACACACACGATAATTGAAAGTGAGTACCTATATGTTGACACATCAACTCATAAGTGTGCCAGCGCACGCTTCTGAGCTTACATTACTCTCCGTAGTCCTATGTTTTCTTTTAATTGCTTTTATTAAATAAATTTTTAACATCAAATGTACCTAGGTTCCTTAGCCATGAATACCTACATGAAAATAGAGACACATCACTTGCCTTGTTTGTTACTAATGTAATTGGGGTCGAATTGAAGCCTGAACCGAAATATCAGAATTTCATCACAAAAATTGACCTTTGGCACCATTTAAAATGGTTGAAATTGGCCCAGATTTCGGCAAATATGTTTTTTTTTTATCAAAAGACATCAATTGTCACCTAGGGAGCGGAACATTTCAGACTTTCATTTCTTTTGACGCACCCTAGTGGCACATAACCCCTGTCAATCCAATATTATGGGGGCCACAACTCCCTCAAAATTTTAGGGATTTGGAGGGCCGTTAGTCAAATGGCAAGAGTATGTTCTGACTTCATATTTGGATTCTACGCGAAAAGTTACGCAGAATAGTTGTGTCGCACGGCCTATTTGCCGAAATTTTTTTTGCCCGTTTTTCCTTCCAAAATAATACGGCTTCTTATGGGGAAATGGGATTCTAAAGTAATTTGGAGCAAATAGGCCGTGCCCCACATCTATTCTGAGTAACTTTTCGCGTAGGATCCAAATCTGAAGTCAAAACATACCTGAATTCTTTGGGTTTGATTTAAGTACCATTACAATTTTTCGTCCCGAAGCTCAATTTTTGGCCGTTTCCGAGAAGAAGGATAGTGAACGGGTGCTCTGGAATAACCGGTATCTGTCATAAGATTGTCTGTAAAAAAAACATGGAATTTGATTCTAAAATGAAAATGTACCCTTATCATTTCAGTATTCCAAAGGAAAAGGTGTCTTTACCCCAAAAATAATTTTCAAGGGAAATAAAGGGGGAGGCTGAAAATAAATTAATTAAAGCGTTTGAGGCCAATTTACGCAAAAATATTGAGTTTCAGAGCTCTATCTCTGGGTGTCTTTGTGAATCAAACAGAGAGCGGGCAGAATGAGACACCCTGTAAATCAAAATACTGAGCATTTTCTTAAATAGCTGACTTCTTAATGTCTTGTAATGGTACTCATTAATGTTCAAATTTTTGACTCTAATTGAAATTATGCGACCTTTTGGCTTTGTTTTCCCCGCAAAATTGTGTGGATCCAGCATCATTTTACCACCTTCGTAATATCTACAGCCATAAAATAAAAGAATAAAAAAATAAAATACAAACAAAATAAAGGAGACAATTATTTGTAAAGTGTTTCTTCTTGGGAAAAAAGAGGGTCCTCTGTCCCACTCAAAGCATTGCGAGTATGAAATTCGAGGCACGTGCATTCAAGAGTACACATGTGGCTATAACAGTTGCAAAACGGCCCCCACAATGAAATTTCAATATTTCTACTGAGAAAATCCCGGTAGCTTCGAACCCAATTCCCCGATTATTTTGTTGTCCCCGATTATTTTGTTGTCCATAACATTTCTACAATATTTCAACATTAATGTTGAAATATTGCAGAATAATTATTCTGCAAGGATGACAAGGCCAAAGAGAATATGTTACAGCCTGAGCTGAACACCCCCCCCCCTTCAGTCCTGCTTTGAAATGCATTAGAGCTCATTTTGGGTCTCTAATTTGAATTTCTGAATTTTTTTACCTGCAAGATGGACCATCCTGTTACTTACAGTATTTAGGCTACATATTTAGTATTTGTTTTTTACATTTCAGGACAAATATTTGGAAAAACAAAAATCCGAATCTCACCAATAGCGGCCATGCAGCCCTTTATAAATTCAGACTCAATGGAAGCAAGACCTCGATAGTACGCTGATAGAATCATTTGTTCGGTGGTAAAGCAACCATCAGCATATGCACAACCTAGTTCACCGACAGAATGCCCAATCATGTTGTCTGCTTGAATACCAGCTGCATGAAGAATGTCCAATAATCCAATCTGTGAGAGAGGAATGAAGAAGATTCTTATGATGTTTCTTTAAAAATAAACCATAAGACTTAAAAACTTTAAAACGATAAATAACGACCCTAAAAATGAGAGGGGCACAAATGGGAATATTGGGCCACTTGCTTTCTGCACAGTAGTCTATTTTCATCGCATATGTCCATCTTACGCTTGAGCTACAAAGTTGATTATCAAAGGATGTTTCTACATTTCTCTCATGAGTTTTGAATCTCAGGAACTTGGGAATTTCAGCATTTTATCCCCCTCAACCCTGGTAAAAATAAGCCATAAAGGCGATAGAGAAATCTTATGGCCGTCTGTTGGATTTTCTATAGCTTTTATAGCTGGCGATAGGATTTTCTTATCGCCCTTATGGCCGGCGATAAAAAGCTCTATCGCCACGAATGGCCGGCGATAGAAGGCTCAATCGCCGGCTATAGCCACGAATGGCCGGCGATGGAACGTTCAACCGCCGGCTATAGCCACGAATGGCCGGCGATAGAACGTTCAATCGCCGGTTATAGCCACGAATGGCCAGCGATAGAACGTTCAATCGCCGGCTATAGCCACGTATGGCTGGCGGGAGAAAGTTCTACAGCCGGCGATAGAAAGTTCTACAGCCAGCGATAGCCACGAATGGCCGCGATAGAACGTTCTGCAGCCGGCGTTAGCCGTGAATAGTCAGCGATAGGACATTCAATCGCTAGCCACTTGTGGATAACGGCAATAACCATCCGCTGCCAAAACAGCCATCTGTAGCCGGCAACAGAATGTTCAGTATCCGGCGATTGGAAATACGCGTGTGCACGAGGGGCAATTAAAAAAGTAATTTTTTTCGAAAATCATCATAAGCGCCAGTGAATCTATCCTGGTTTCTTTTCTAAAAATATTTTTCTTCAATTTTTTCTCAATAATTCTTACTTTTCCAAAATTTGATTTGATTTTGATTTTTTTGTATTTGAATCGGCCATATACACTGTTAAAAATCGTTGATTCCGTCCAACGGAAAATCCGGATTGAGAATGAACAGGGGAGTGAGATTCAGCGCATAGGTGCTGAGATGTGTCGCATGAGTGCGCAAAGCACTCAGCACCGGAGCTTCAGTTGGGCCCTAAGTCACGCGCACCTCGGCTATCTCTCTCTCGCACTAGCGCTCTACACTGTCTCTTCTTCCCTTTAGGCCTACCAATCCAATGATGAAAATGAAAAATTTAAAGTTTAAATAAGTAAAATAATAGAATAGAATAGTGGAAATAATAGAGTAGCAGAAATAATAGAATTACAGAGACAACAGAAGAGAAATCAAATAAAGTAAATTAAATATATGATAAAATGAAGTCAAAGACTAAATTGAAGTAAAAAATTAGAGGGAGCAAGGAGATGAAGTAAAAAAATGAGGTGAAGAAAAAATAAAGTATAAGGGAAGAAACTAAATGAGGTTAAAGAATAGAATGAATTTAAAAAGTAAACATGATGAAGTATTAAAATAAATTACAGTAAAAAATAAAACAAAATAAGGGAATAAGAAGTAAATAATTTAAGAAAAAAAATGAAGTACTTGAAAAAATAAAATAGAGTGAAGAAAAAAATAGAGTCAGCAAGGAAATAAATCAAGTAAAACGATAAAATAAATTTAAAAAATATAGTAAAGTAAAAAGTAAAATAAATAATACACGGACAAATCCAGGCAGATTGAAAATATCCTATTTTCCCGTTCAAATCGACGTTAAATATCGGTTTTGCGTCACATGAAGGCAGCATCTGGTGTAGCTTAATGGTTAGGGTCTTCGGTTTGTGTTAGGCAGGTCCCGGGTTCAATCCCTAAGGTAGGTAAAAATGTCTAATCTTCAAAATCGGGTAAATTACGTCCCAGTAGTTTCATTATTATTATTTTTCATGGTTTCAAAATGTATTTCCACAATTAACCCTTTTCCACCATCCCCTAGCTGCGAACCCCTAAATTTTCTATAGCCGGCGATTGAGAATTCCTACAGCCAGCCATAAGAATTCTCAATCGCCGCCTATAGAAAATTCCTATCGCCAAAAGGCCATGTTTCAATTTACCATTGGATTTTTCCTATGGCCGGGCTATAGGTAATTTGTATGGCTTATTTTTACCAGGGATTTCCTATTTCTAAGGAATTTTGAGCAATCTTCAGGCAAAGTATCAATGTTTTATGGTTATATCGCATGTTTTGAATCACTCTCACTGTTCAAGCGCCTCTCATCGTGAGCAAAGATATTTCTGGGCTCGTTTCCGAGGAACAAAAGATGTTTAAATTTTTGGGCAGTAATCATCTGTTTCTTCAGGTTTGTAGTGATTTTAAGTTGGATATTCATATTCCATGACCACTGTGGATGTTACCCTGAGCATTTTGCAAAAAAAAGTGTGTCACACTGTCGATAAAACGATTGAACTTTTTACTGATTTCAACCAATATCAGTTGAGTTCCGACGGTAAAATGGATGTGCCGGCATTTTGGAACTATTCTACAAATTATTTTAATCAGGATACAAAAATTTTCCCTTTAGTAGAAACGCCGCAGTGCACGACCGAGAACTTTCATCGGAATATCAGCTCCTATTCTCAGTGCATTGAACTTTTTAAGGAAACTTTGCACAGAGGAATCTCACAAGAGCAAGGAACCGAACTCAATATTTTACCAAACCAAGCTGAATTTTTACCTGAATGGCAGCAATCCCGACGAATGAGTTAACAATATTATTGAATACTTTGGGATCATCATCAGTGATGATTTTTAAAACATCAATGCCTTTTGGTTTGAGAATACGTTGACACCTCTCGATGGCTGCAGAAAAGATTGGGATTCGTAGCAGAGCGCGGCCCATACCAGGCCACTGCGATCCCATTCCAGAGAACACGAACCAGATGGGACGTTCATCACCGGGATAATACTAGAACAGAACATCGTTAATCACGAATCCATGAGAATTATATTAGTCTTTGAACCATGAATAAATCAAAAAGATCGGCAGATCTTCCCGCCAAGCTAAAGATATAAAGACAAGTGTCAAAAGTGAACAAAGCCTAAGGTAAGGTGCACAGGAAACGCCTTTCAACAACTCTGCAGGAACCACACACACGCGGGGCGATAAGCCAATAAGCGTCGGCTGACGCTGTAATACAAAGAAAATATTAGGAATGGCCGATTTTCGCTACTTTTCAACTCTTGGCCCCTCCCCCCACCACCTCCCCTGTAGCAAAAAAAAGCTCGAAGGATCATGCTGAAATTTGGCATGATAATTCTTCAAGATTCAAAGGCCATACCTTTTGGTGTCTGATATTTTAAAACTTTACATCAACGGAGATATAACGTTTTTAAGATTATAGAACAAATACTAATTTTGCCGTTTTCTATGACATTTTAATGTTTCCATACCTGGAGCAGAAAAACCGCTCGACGGATCATGCGGAAATTTGGCATGATGATTCATTAACATTCAGAGAAGTGCCTCTTTGGTGTCTGATGTTTTCGAATAAGATACCAAGTGCGCTGGGCTGTTTTAAAAACATCAGAATTTAGTCAGTTTTATGCTACTTTCTATGTTTGCTCACTGAGAGCAGAAAAACATCATAGCTGATCGAATGCAATTTGTTAGGATGACGCAGTAAGTTAGAGAGAGTACAGCCTTGGTGACTGATGCTCTAAAATTAATCAACAAGAGAGATAAGTACGGCATTTCAAAAACCTCTGGCTCAACTTTCTGTGGCTTTCTAACGTTTGCCCATCTATGGAAATAAAAAAAAGTATTAACAGGATCAAAATGAAATACCGGATGGTTCTTCGTGCTCCGGCTAGGGAGTGGCGTTTTTCTGATGATCTTTTTGAACTAAGTATCAAGTGAGTTACAATGTTGTCATGGGAACGGAGTTCCCCATGATATTAGAATCGTTCCGTTGCTTTCGCTATGGGATTCCCTATACCTCTGCGACCTTGAGCGTTTCGCCCAGTCTCCGATTTTTGGTTGATTTTCCGATGTATCAAAAACCGTTGTATTTTTTAGCCAATCATGTCTCTACGTCAAGTTGTGTTGATTGCTAAAATTCGCTTTCAGCGAGTTTTTTTCCACCTTGAGATGTCGTGTCTGACTGGTAAATCTGCGCAGAACCACGAAGTTCCGTTTTTAGGCAAATTCTTTTTTTTGGGAGGTTCTGATTGGTTATTTTTCGCCATCAGTTTTCTGTTCGTTGGTGCAAAAGATCGCCTACCTCGGTGCTCTTGAGAAGCCGCCATTATCCCACCTCAAATTTGAAAAATAGAAGTAAAGAAATAATAACCATCGTACAAGGTGGAAAATTGTTCTGGAGGACTCGTTACGGATATATGAGCGAAAATCAGAACTCGATTGATTGATTTAATCCATGAATACAGAAATATTGCCTCAGCTTACTGCCGCGATAGCAAATGCATGTTGAGATGAACCTTGAGACACATGATAGCATAGGTAAACAATGTCTCACAGAGAAAGGCGCTTAGCTCATTTCTTTCTTATCCCAGGAGCTACAAAGCGTCGAAAACAACTCTTGTGATAAGTCCCGCCCATTGCCCGAGTCTTTTGTATGCTATTTTTACTCTCTCACACGCCGATTCGTTATAGCCTAGTTGACTAAACCGCCTCATATTTTTGATTAGGTGCGGGCAATAGGCGATCGGAAGTTCGATACCCGACGATGGGTGTTACTTTTTAATGGTTGTATTGAATGTTTTAGACTAATCATTAAAAAATAATTAATACTAGATGATAAATGTACGAACATTATCTCGTGAGTTAATATGTTAAACAAAAATACTGGAATATACCTCCTTCATATAATCAGCCACATGTTCCCCCAAATTAATGACGTTATTTTCTTTTTTCAATAAAGTTAATTTGCATTCAACGTTCGTAATTTAAGCAAAAAGTACCTATTGATACAAATAGAAAGACATGAAAATAGTATGTCTAACATTTCAGTTGTTTTTTTTTTATTTATTTTTTGATTTTTTGTTTTTTTGTTTTTTCAATAAAACAAATTGACTGGGACTAGAATCATTGTATCTCTGAAGACAAAAGCTAAGTTTTTTGATACAGAAATACTAATATATTCATCCTTTATATAATCAGGGAGATGTTGACCCAAATATTGATGTATATTTTCTCTGTTCGCCCAAATTAATGATGGTATTTTCTTTTTTCAATAAAATTAATTTACATTCCACGTTCTTAAAGCAATATTTTCTCCAAAATTCAGCAAAAAATAACAATTTATACCTACGCAAAAAGTAAATAAAGAAAGAAATAAATAAAGCAATGACATGAAAGTAGTATAGGTAGTACACATCTAACATTTCAGTTACATCTATTTGAATGAAAAAAATGGCAACTTAGGAAGCACATAGGTCACTTATGATGCGTATTCGCGCATATGCGTAGAGTAAAAATATCATACTTTACACCGAAAAAACGAAACTGAAAGTTAAATGCGTTAACTCCCGAAAACCATACATAATCCAACGAAAATAAATAATTGGTAAATAACAGCTTTCTTGTATGCAAAGAAAAAAAATTAAAAATGTTAAAAAAGAGATGTCGACACAAAATTACATTGCCCCTTCAATTCTGAAGATACTACAAACGAACTGTACCTTAACATTTTCATATCCCAGAAGCAAAAGTTCCCATGACGAATATTGCTATCGCTAGCGATTGCAAAAACCAACTTGTTTCAAAAATACAAACGTTCCATCGGTTTCTGGACGGCCTCCTGTTCCACTGATTCCCGTAAAACTTAAGGTCGGGGGGGGGGGGGGNGGGGGGGGGGGGTATTTTTGACGGAAAACTCAAATTTTTTGTCTAATTTTCAAAATTCGCAAATCCAAGAGGCTTAGTATGCTATCTCGGCTTCTGTTCCATCGATTTTCGTGACACTTGGAATTTCGAAACCTCTATTTGATAAATTCTTTTTACCTCTATATTTACCTATGGTAAGTGACCTTTGAGCCAGTGCTTCCATAATATTACATAAATACTTTCTATTTCTCTACTGAAGAAGGTGAACACGTCCTAAAATGCTAGCTCAGCCTCTGTTAAATCGGTATTTGTTAAACTTGGTACCAGGAGGTAGGGTAGGTGGGAGTAAAAGGCCGCGCGGGGAAAAAAGCCGCACCCGACTTTTTTCCCGAAAATTTTTTAGGTTGGCACCGGGACCGTGTCAGTTATGTTGGTAGTGGTGGTGTTGTTGTGTTGACGAAGTTTTGGATCGAACGGACGCGTTCCCTCGAAAATATGAGGAGAATTTATTTTTCGTGAAAAAAAAATCGATTCTTCCGGTTTTATTTTGGTCAATTTCAAGTTCTATAATTGATAGAAAAAATCGGACGAACTGCAGTTCGAACAATGATAAGGATGGTTTGAATATCCCGCCGTCACTTTTGAGTTAATGTCCTTGTTTTTGAATTTTGAGGTTATGGTTACCTACGTCATCAAATGGGGCAAAAAGCCGCAGGTCCGATGGGGCAAAAGGCCGCACGCCGCCTTCACTAAAATAGCACTAATACTTAATCTATCAACTACTACCTACCTATACTAAATCTTTCACTACATATTTTACTAAATATTATTAATAATTACCGAGGATCCTAAAATGTAGGGTAGGTGGAGGCGAAAGGTCACACTTTCCCGTTGTGGCCGTCTGTTAGCCGCCGTATCGCATGGAAATTCTGGAAATATGTGGTAAAATATCAACTATAGACCCTCAGGCATGAAAGTAGGGTGAAAATGGCGACTTGAGCGCAGTAAATTATCCAACAGCGTTGCATGATTGTGCAGAAAAATAGGAATTAAATTACAGCGTTGTATAGGGATTATTGTTCAATGTGGCAACGCTGTAAAAAGAAAGTATTGCATGTTGCCCCTTCATTATGCGGGTTATGCAATGGTGTAATAATGCCCCTTCATTTTTCGGGTTATGCAATGGTGTATTTTTCAAGATGGCGCAGCAGCGTTGCCAAACGGGGCACGTAAATAAATGATTTATTTATTGGTGAAATTTTGCAACATTGCATTTTACAGTGTTGCCAGATGGGGC